AATTCTTATCTCAGTACCTAATTTAGAGCTCTGCACCCAATTAGTACTTTGTAACATGCAAAAACTAGAAATGAACTAAACTACCACTCAATAAATCTCTGAAGTGTTACTTTGCATTTAGTGTATAGCTATGTACTGATCTCCAATAGGATACTTGGCTGGGAAAGCTGACGTTCTCATTGAGAAAGTTTCAAGATTAAGCAGGCAAGGAACTTCTTACAATTTTTAAAAATATACATTTATTTACTTGAAAGTCCAAGTGAGAGAGGGGGCAGAGACAGAGAGATTTTCCATTCACCAGTTCACTTCCCAAATGGCTGCCATACCCAGTGCTGGGAGTCAGGAGCTTCCTCTGGGTTTCCCATGCGGGCACATGGGGCCAAGAACTTGGGCCATGCTCTGCTGCTTTCCAAAGCGTATCAGCAGGGCCTGGATCAGAGGTGGACCAGCCAGGACTAGAATCTGCATCCATATGGGATGCTAGTGCCATGAGGAGAGGGTTAGCTTGCTGCCCCATCACAATGGCCCCAAGCAACTTCTTATAACTTAACAAACTTGGATTTATTCTAGAATAACAGGGAGAGTTAAAATAAGGGAGTGGTATTTTCACATTTTGTTTTTTTAAAAAAGAGGTTTGAATCAGTAGAAATACAAAGTACTATAGACTCACTGTTGAGGCAGGAAGCAAGGTGTGGGAATTGAATCAGCAAACAGAGTAATCTCAGTTTTGCCATCTTTGTAATTAGCATTAAAACAAACAAAGCAAGCACAATAAGTCAAGGTATGAAGAAAGTAGAGAATTTTATTTCATTTAGAAATTTTTATTGCAGTATTAAAACAATATACTGAAATACACATAATGCTTCATTTTGAAATATAGTTGTACATTTGTATATACTATTTGTATATACATTTCCAGAACTTCTCCTAAACAGTAACCACAAGGTGAAAAACAGTAATTTTACAGTGAAATTCTGACAGATATCAAAGTAATCAACCTATCAAAGTTAACATTTTCAAAATGAGATGAATTAACACCAAGCATCTCCTGATGCAATGAACTTCAAAGGGCTAAGAGCCACACATTCTGACACTTCTCCCATGGAGCACTGTGAGCTGTGTTTCCAACCCTTGAACCAAGGCAGGCTCTTGACTGCCTCTCCATGAGCTCAAGCCTTAAGAAGCTGACAGCAGGACCTGGTGCAATAGCACAGTGATTAAAGTCCTCGCCTTGCACCAGGATCCCATATGGTCGCCGGTTCTAATCCCGGCAGCCCTGCTTCCCATCCAGCCCCCTGCTTGTGGCCTGGGAAAGCAGTTGAGAATGGCCCAAAGCCTTGGGACCCTGCACCTGTGTGGGAGACCTGGAAGAGCTCCTGGCTCCTGGCTTCGGATTGGCTCAGCTCCAGCCATTGCGGCTGCTTGGGAAGTGAACCATTGGATGGAAGATCTTCCTCTCTGTCTCTGCTCCTTTCTGTATGTCACCCTTTCCAATAAAAATAAATAAATCTAAAAAAAAAAAGAAGAAGAAGAAGAAGAAGCTGACAGCAGCTGCTTGCAGTGTTTGTGGGGCTCTGACCATCATGCTGCAGGAAATCTACACCACATGGACAGCTTGCCTACAGCTACTCTCATCCTCAACTGTGGCTGAATTCGGCCAACAAACAGAATCCAGCTGGTATACCATGAGGAGGGCATCCTTGATGTTCACTCTGAGCCTTCAGTTGACCCCAACCTTAACAACTACATGAGAAATCGCAAGAGAAAATTACCCAGTTGAGATTTAACAGTCTGCAGAATCATGGCAGACAATAATGAATTGTTGTGTTAAGCTATCAAGCTTTGACACAGCTTGTTCTGGAGCAAGAGGTAACTGAAGAGCACTTAGCACTGTAAAACTATAAATTCCATGAGACTTGAGACTTTGTCTCCCCTGCTGTAGCCCTAGCTTCCAGATAAGTATCTGGTACATGTATTAATGATGAATAATTAATAATATTAATATTACTAACCTGAGAAAATGATTTTAAAAGCCATTTCGTTTAAAAAGCCATGAATGCTTATATTTCTTCTGTTTAATAAATTGAGCAAGTTTTTAAAAATCATGTTACTAATCCTATATCTATATTCAGAAATGGGTCAGACATTGACCTACCTAGAAGTAAGTTTCTAACAAATTAAAACATGACGACCTAAATATTCCAAGGAACCATTAAAAGGGCTGTCTTGATGTTTCCAAATCTCTTAGATCTGACCTTTAAAACTCCTCTGTCTTGCCTTTTGCTATTCTTCTAGATGCACTAGCGACGGTTACAAAAGTAAAGAGATAACAGAGGAAGAGGAAAGGCAGGGACTCTTGCTTTTGGTGATGACATTTTGCATTTCTAGGATACAGGTAACCAGTCACTCCAGTTTTAGACCAGCACCAGAAACATGAAGGACACTATACAAATGACTGAATAAAGAACGAATAATAATAATGAACAGAGCAACTCAGAGCTGAACAAACTATGACCTTACAAAGGAGTTTCCTAAAATAATAATTTAAATAATAAATAGGGGCCCTTATGCATTTTCCTACGTGGATAATTGAAAAGAAATTGCTATATAGTCACCAACCCAAAGATACACAGAATTATAACATACATTGAAGTTAATTAAAAATAAAATTGTGCAGAAACACTGGTAACAAACATCATTGAAAAACTAAAGTCATAGGTAATTCTAAAATAAAAGTAGCGATTTTCGTTAGATAGGTCAATTAAATTACTGGATAACTTGTATTATGCTTTACTTGAAATGAAGGCAGACTTTAAAAAATGTTCTATCTCAGAGATCGAGAGCTCTCATCTCCCCCAAATGCCCCAAACTGATAAGTCTAGTTTGGGGCTGGTTTGGAGCTCAGAACTCAGTCCAAGTCTCCACATGCTTAGCAGAATTCAGTTACTCAAGCCATCACTTCTGCTCCCAGCATCCGTGCAGACAGGCATCTGGATACAGGAGCTGGAGCCAGAAACCAAACTCAGGTACTGTGCGCTGGGTGCCTAGCCACTAGGCTAAATGTGGCCTTGAAGGAAGACATCTGAAAAAAAAAATTTGGTTGTTACATAATGTCCATATTGGTAGTGGCAAAGTCAGAGTGGGCAGCAGGGACATGAATCATCTAGAGAATTAGTAGCCCAAATGCTCTGAATTTTAAGCTCCACATTTTTATAAAGACTTAGGACTTAGTAATTACTTCTGGTATTTCATCATTTCTCCTGAGAAATAATACAGCCCTATATAGTTCAGATATACTACTAGGTAGGTACTTTCTCTAACTGATTCATGAATTGGTCATTGGCAGGTCAAGCAAGAAACAGCAGGTATCAAGCAATGAGTGATGGCTATTTAAAGCCCATCTTAATAGTTCGTATTTGTCATTTTTGAATATTGTCAACTTGTATCCTACAAGATATCTTCGAGCACAATCAGACTACTTTACAAGTATGAGTAGAAAAGCTTCCTCAACACTGCCAATTATCTAGAGCTCCATTTTCCTTTTCTCAATATTATAGGTGTTTGAGGGTACTGAGCAAACTTAGAGCAGGGCAAAGTCCAAGTCTGGGCGACAAGAAAATCCCTTTGGAGAAATTATTACTGAGTGAACATGGCATGTTAAGGTGCTGACAACTTGGAGCTAATAGGATTAGATCCAGTTGCAATAATGTGTTTTGCGTTTAAGATGACCAAATCTCCTAGTTTGTTTAGGATATTCTAGTTTGTGCCTTTTGGCCCTTTTGTCTTTATGTAACTGGTGCCCCCTTCCACCCTTGTGTTTCATTTCAACTAATGAAATTACATGTAAGCACTAGCTACTTATGGTGAAACTGCCAGATCCACCCATTTTTCTGCAGAAGGCCTCTCCCAATTAGCTTGTTCTCTCAGTTCTTTGGATCCCAGTTCTTCTGATTAGTCTATAACTTTCCACCTTCCTCCTCCCTGATAATCCCTAATCTCACCTCCTAGACCTCTTCCACCTTCCATCAACTGGAAAGCTTCTTCTCCAACCTAGCCTTCTGTTTATCCTCCACTCCTACTACTTTCACAGCCAGTGCTAGCTTCAACTGCCTAGCTGAGAAACACAGTATTAACAGTTCTGGTTGCCAGTGGCCATTAAATATTTTTTAAACCCTTGAATACAGACTCCAACAACCTGGGAGTTTCCCTTCCTACAGACGTTTAAGGATTTAAACAAGTGAATCTCTGGGCACTCCTAGCCTCCACTTCCCTGCCAGCTGTTTCACTTCTCACAATCCTACAGAAAGGCAACAAAGGCCCTGAAAATAGTCTACCTGGCTTTAAATCAAAGATTCCACACTTCGAATATTATTTAACATTATTACTTAACATTAATAGGTAACATTATTTATCCTCCTATGTGTGCTGAACATAAGTAAGCAAGGAAATACACCGAGATCAGTGTAGCTAGTTGAAAACACTAGTCTTTATTACCTGGTTTACCCTTGAGGACAATTTCTGGATACATGTGTAAGCCCTGGATGAGGCTCCTGGCTTCAGATCAGCTTGTCTCTGGCACTTGCAGCCATTTGGGGAAATGAACCAATAGATAGAAGAGCTCTCTCATCTTTCCTTTTCCTCCTGTAAATTCTGCCTTTCAAATAAAAATAAATCATAACCCCCCCACCCCCTTTTGTATCAAATATATTCCAGGTATATGCACAAAATGAAACTCCATGATAAATTCCTCAGTATCCCTCACTTTTCCAAAGGAACAGCAATGCCTAGCTTCTCCTGGTGGCATAAATAACACCAATATTTCCACAGTTCACATATACTGTCCCTTTGGAGAAATGCTTTTGTTTGGCATAACAGAAAAACTCACTGGTAAGCTTCTGAAATCCTAAATTCTGGACTTGGCTATGTGATTAAACTACACAATCAGATCCTGCATCTCCATATGAGTGTATCCTGAACAACAGAAACACTTATATCACTTGGTCCTTTAGAGTCCTTTATTCTTTATCTTTACAGTAACCTTTAGATTTAAGTAGGGTAATATTACTTGCATTTTAATAGCAGAAATTCAGACTCAGAGGATTCACAATCTACTGGATTCCACAGACAGGTGAAAAACTTTGAAGTGCAACTCACACAGGGAAGTACTTAATACACGTATGTGTGTACTCTGAAGTGTGTAAATAGGTAAAGCAATTTTCCAGGTTGTTTTCAATTATCACATTTTATGCTTCCACCTGCTATTTTTATTCACTCAACTGTCATAAGATTATATTTGATCAACAAATTCTTTTAACATGGTTCCTTGGTTTAATTATTCCTTAAATTCTTCTTGTACTTCTGTGTTAAATAAAGAGGAAAATCAGTTTTTTAAACTTATTGCTTTGACTTGTCAAGGCAGAAAATCGCTAACATTTTATAAACGTTATTATTTTTTATAATTTCAGTTATTTCACACTTCAAATCAAAACACCTGGGTGCAGGTATTTAGCCTCATGGTTAAGATGCTCTCACCTCACTTGGGAGCAACTGAATTCTACCTCAGGGTCCTGCTCCTGACTCCAGCTTGCTGCCAGTGAAGATGCAGGGAGGCAGTGGTGATGGCTCAACAGCAGTGTGCATGTGGTTCTCAACCCCTGGCTCCAGCATGGTCAAGTGGACATTTGAGGAATGAGCCAGCAAAGGGAATCTCTCCCTTTCTCAAGTAAAAAAATTTCAAAAACCGTTGCTGTCTTCCTGTAGTAATAAAAACATATTTTGTTATTTTATCAGTCTCTTCTCTTTTACTGGAAAATACTGTTATTCTACCTGTCAAGTTTCCCTATCAAGAAAATGTTATTGTCAGGAAGGCTTACTTTCAATGTTCCATAATAAGATGGAATTAGTGACCCAAATTGGAAAGTGAAACTCCAAATGTTAAATGAGGGAGTCAAGACATTTCCCAAGAGGCCATATGACCAGTTTAAAAAGATGCACCTAAAATTAACTCTGACTTGTACTGTATAGATATGTAGATCAGACATGCCAACATACACTCAGAAAATACTCCTAAGTGAAAATAGATTCCAAAACAAAATACATTCCATAAGCAACACTGAGAGGTCAGCAGAGCTCAATAAACAGTATGCTTTCACAAGTCGGGAGCATTACACACCAGGCAACTTATATAATTTAATATGCTAAAAACAAGGAAACAAACAATATATGAGGATGGGAAGTACACAAAGGAAAAGCACTTTCACAGTTTTCTTCATTTTGATTGTATTGCTTTCTTGTCTTCAGGAGGAAAGATTTTTACTTCAAAAGTAACAAAATATTTGAGAAGAGAATTTACATCGTTCAGTTCTAAATGGTATTCCTGTGCTATTTTCTTAGCAGTCCAGGTCTCTGGATAAAGCTTATGATTATTGAGAAGTGTCAGTGCTTCTACAATGGAAATTTTGCCTTTAGGAATGTTCTTAATATCCATCATATCAAAGTGATGGCCTACTGGCAATCTGAATTCCTTTGGTTCTTGACGAGTTTCAGCATCTTTTACCTAGTATCAAAAAAACAGATAAAAAATTAAGGCTTTCACAATGAGAGAAAAGATTAGATAGCTACAATCGTGCTTCTCAAACTATTTACCTCCAAATACTCCATATACTTTACCAAAGTACATTTTTTCATTAAAATAAGCTAGTTTGATTATACTTTTGCTACACTGCCCTTTCATTTACTATGATCAAGAAAATCATACAGCTATAAGAAACAACTGAATGAATACCATTCCTTCCATTCACATTCATAAACAGGCTGGAGTCTCCCAAACCCAAAATTCTGAAATGCTCCAAAGTGCTAAACTTTACATGATGTCACATGAGGAAAACTGCCCGCCTGACCTCCTGGGACAGTTCTGTCAAAACAAACCAAAATGCATCCCTATGTTCATAGCAGCACAATCAGTAATTGCAAAAACATGGAAGCAACCGAAATACCCATCAACAGAAGATTGGATAAGAAAGCTTTGGTTCATCTACTCCATGGAATACTACTCAGCTATTAAAAAAAACAAAATGCAGTTCTTTGTGGCTAAATGGGCCCAACTGGAAACTATAATGCTAAGGGAAATGAGCGAATCCCAAAAGGTTAGATACCACATGTTTGCCTTGATTTAACTTGTAATTTTTGTTTGGTTGTTGGTTATTTTTTGAACCTGTCATTGACACTGTCTCAACCCAGATGTTTCGAAGAATGGAACTTGCATTATTTTTAACATATTGTTTACCCAATACTATGTCAATTAATTCCATAATGTTGTATATTGATACTGAGGTTTTGTTGGGGCTTTTAACTGACCGGATCTTTACTCTGTTAGCCCTATCTTCAGACTAGAGAAGGTCTCCCCAAGAGGCCACTGAACTTATCTGGACAATAAGACGCTGGACTTTATGCTAGATATGTGTTTGCAAGGAACGAATCTCAACTGAACTTGAACTGTGGTTATGCAACAAGGTGGAGAAATCCTCCATGGGGGAAGGGGTATGGGAGGGGTGGGGGGAATCCCCAGTGCCTATAAAACTGTATCACATAATACAATGTTAACAACAATAAAAAAAAAAAAAACAGGTGCAGTGATAATAATGTAAAATTACTTCAGGGAGGTAATCAATCACCTTCATACCTCTGTGATGCAACCACAACCTACAATACCAACTCAGTTCTTCACTTTTCAAAACTCAGTTCTCTCATTTTCCCACACCTAAGCATATCCTTCCATTCCAAACACTCCTTTATTCATACCTTCTAATTAAACACTAAAATTAACTTCTGATAATGAAAATATTATTTGACAAAATGCAATATCCTTTCTTAACTAAAAAATATCAAAAAGCTCTCAGGAGAGTCTGGCACAATAGCCTATTGGTTAAATCCTTGCTTTGCATCTGTAGGACCCCATATGGGTACCAGTTTGTATCCCACTGCTCCACTTCCCCTCCAGCTCCGTGTTTGTGGTCTGGGAAAGCAGCAGAGGACAGCCCAAAGTCCTGGGACCCTGCATCCATCTAGGAGACCTGGAAGAAGCTCCTGGATCCTGTCTCTTGGCTTTCGATTGGCTCAGCTCCAGCTACTTGGGGAGTGGGTGAGCAGATGGAAGACCTTTCTTTCTGTAAATCTGTCTTTTGCCTTTCCAATCAGAAAAAGTAAAATAAATCTTTTTTTTTTTTTTAAAAAAAAAAAAGCTCTCAGGAGAAAAATGCATCCAACAGGACGGAAGCATCTAATTGGAGACCACTATCTTTTTTTTTTTTAAATAATCAATGCTGAAAGATCAGACGCATGCTGGCTAAGGGAGAAAACAGGTAAGAATGATGTTGCTGTTACAGACAACATAATAAAAAAATTAAGCATAAATATTAAAAAAGGATAATTTCCTACAGGTAAGACAGTGCAGAAAAATAAGATATAATAATTTAGCGTGGAGGACAGTTGTCAAAGTCACAAACTTTTTCATATTCTACCTAAAAACAGTTAAAAAAAAAAAAACAGGGTGAAATAAAGATTCTACTTAGGATAATAATCTTCCCCCATCCTCAAAGACTCAACAATGAGAAGATTCTGATACTCAAGTCATACGGAAAGAATAAGTATGTGAAAAAAAATGTTGAAAAGAATGAGAGGTCATAAAAGGCATAAGACATGGTGTTGGCATTGTAGTTCAATGGGTTAAACCGACACTTGCAATGCTGGCATCCTATCTGATCAATGGTTCAAGTCCTGTTTCACCTTTGATTCAGCCCCCTGTTGATAAACCTAGGAAACCAGTATATAGTTCAAATGTTTGGGCCCCATTTATATTCATATAGTAGACTCAGACAGAGATATAGTCTCCTGGCTTCAGCCTGGCCTTTGTGGCTACATGGGGAATGAAACAGCAGGTGCAAGACCTCTCTCTGCTTTCATTACTCACTCTCTCTGTAACACTGCCTTCAAACAAGTAAACAAATTTTGAAAACAAAACAAGATATATCAAGACCCATTCTAAAGGTTTATTAATTAAATCAGCATGGCTTTAGAGAAAAAACAGAAAGAAAAAACAGTAGAATTGCTGAGTCCAAATACAAACCTGTGCAAGTATGTATAACATTAATGAGTGAAAAAATGTCTAGTTTACCAAATAAATTATATATAAAACTAGCCATTCATTTTTTTTCTATCATGTATCATCCTATTATATTCTTCCCATTTTTTTTATGTGACACAGTGTTATGGGCACTGGGATTCCCCCCACCTCTCTCCAAGGTGGATTTCTCCACCTTGCTGTGTTACCACAGTTCAAATTCAGTTGAGGTTCTTTCATTGGAAGTATTTACCAAGCATAAAGTCTAGCGTCTTATCCTAGTGGGTTCAACGATTTCTTGGTGAGACCATCTCAGGTCCAAAGGTAAAGCCAGCAAATTATCATCCCAATCAATTAAAAGCCCAAACATAACATCAACAGCCATTTACAACCTTATGGCATTAATTGACATGGTATTGATTAACAGTATGCTGATAGGAAAATGCTGATAGGAAAATCTTTACTACATCCTGTGACTTCTTCATTTAGCCATTTATTTTTAAAGACATTTTTATAGTCTCTTCTGGGACAGGCACTGTGTAAGCTAATCTCCTGCAATGCCAGCATCGCATCGGGCTGTGGTTGGGGTCTGCTGCTCCACTTCTGACTCAGCTCCCTGCTAATGGCTTAGGACGGCCTGGGAAAGCAGAGAAGGATGACTCAACGTCTTGAACTCCTGCACCCTTACGGAAGACCCCGAAGAAGTGCCTGACTCCCAACTTGAGACCAGTCCAGCTCTGGCCATTCCGGCCACTTGGGAAGTTAACCAGCAGAAGGAACATCCTTCTCCACTTTCCCTTCTCTCTTCCTCTGTAATTCCTACTCTCAAATAAAAAACAAAGAAGGTCTTTTCTACACTGCAAACACCATACTCAATGACAAATAAATATTTTAACACAAACTAGTTATAAAACGACTGAAAGAAAATAGACATTTCATGACGCTGCAGTGGATCCATACTTCCTGTAACATGAAGGACAAATAAGCTGACAGATTTTGACCAGCAACAAGCAAAAAGTCAGACAATAAATACATTATTTGTTATAAATAAGTATGCTATTGCCAATATACAGATATCACAAATCATTAACAAAACTATAGACTACTCAAAAGAAAACAAAAAGGATTAAGAAGTTTTATTTTACTTTCCTAAAGCAATTTTTGAGACTTTACCTAATGCTTCCCATGAATTTTTTTTTTAAAGATTTATTTTTATTATTTTTTCATTGGAAAGGCGGATATACAGAGAGGAGAGACAGAGAGGAAGATCTTCCGTCCGATGATTCACTCCGGGCCCGGCGCGGTGGCGCAAGTGGTTAAAGGTCCTCGCCTTGCACGCCCGGGTTCCCATGAAATTTTAATGAAAGTTTACATCTTCAAATGTATAATTTAGTATGACTTAAATGTGGCAGTATTACTCTACACCAGTTTAAAAACAAGGTGGATATCAATCCCTTTATCGTATTTTTTTTAAAGATTTATTTTTATTATGTTTTATTGGAAAGGCGGATATACAGAGAGGAGAGACAGAGAGGAAGATCTTCCATCAGATGATTCACTCCCCAAGTGAGCACAACGGTCAATGCTATGCCAATCCGAAGCCAGGAGCCTCTTCCGGGTCTCCCACGCGGGTGCAGGGTCCCAAAGCTTTGGGCCGTCCTCGACTGCTTTCCCGGGCCACAGGCAGGGAGCTGGAAGGGAAGTGGGGCCGCCGGGATAGAACTGGCGCTCATATGGGATCCCGGGCGTGCAAGGTGAGGACCTTTAACCACTTGCGCCACTGCACCGGGCCCCTTTTATCTTTTTAATATGAATATCTAGTACTGATTCTATACTCTCTTCTATAAGCAAATACAAATTTTATTTTTCTTTTATGAAAACTGCATTAACACCTGTCTGTGCAGTCAGCTGCCTATCCAGCAAAACGTACCAGAGAATTTTAAAATGGAAAAAAACAAAAACCTGGGCCCAGCGCGGTGGCGCAATGGTTAAGGTCCTCACCTTGCACGCCCAGGATCCCATATGGGCGCCGGTTCTAATCCCAGCAGCCCCGCTTCCCATCCAGCTCCCTGCCTGTGGCCCAGGGAAAGCAGTCAAGGATGGGCCAAAGCTTTGGGACCCTGCACCCACGTGGGAGATCCGGAAGAGGCTCCTGGCTTCGGATCAGCATAGCATCGGCCATTGCGCTCACTTGAGGAGTGAATCATCGGACGGAAGATCTTCCTCTCTGTCTCTCCTCTCTGTATATCCGCCTTTCCAATAAAAAAAATAATAAAAATAAATCTTTAAAAAAAAAAACCAATCTGTAAGTAGTTGTGAGTACTTTCTTGTCCTTTAAATTCTTCCTACATCTGCAACTACAAACTCACTCAGTTAGTTTTCAACGCTTCCTTCAGGTGTAAACGTCATTTCCAGGGGCCAGTGCGTTAGCCTGTTGTCTGCAGTGAGGACTGCAGGCCCCGCTGCTCTACTTGAGATCCAGCTTCCTGCTACTGTTCCTGGGGAAGCAGCAGAGGATGGCCAGAGGAAGTCGCCCAGACAGACCACTGAAGCCATGAATCAGGGAGTGAAATCAGTGTAGGAAGCTCTATCTGTAACTTTCAAATAAACAAAGTCTTAAAAAAAAAATTAGAGAAAAGCCATAAAATAGAATCGTTTTTAAAAAAAAGCCATTTTCCCTGAAACCATCCTTAATTCTCCAATATCAGATACATCCCTCTATTACAATGTACCATGCCTATACTTAGTCAGCAATTATGTACCCAGAAGTCTAGCTGCACAGTTGCTAATTAAGGCCTGTGTTCCTGTGTGAACAACTACATCTGTTTTATTTTGCACTAGAAAAAAAGCCCTGTAATCAGCACTTCGGATTCACACATGAGAGGGACATCAGGCTGATACTGCGCAGGCCAAACTGCTGACGGAAAGGCCAGCATCCCACATGAGTCCAGGTTCCAGTTGCCTCATTTCTGACCCTTCGCCCTGTTACATGCTGGGGAAAGCTGCAGAGCATGGCCCAACCACTCTGACTCTGTCACAAATATGGGAAACCCAGATGAAGCTTCAGGCTCCTGGCTTCAGCCTAGTGCAGCCCTTGACCACTGGGCTCATTTGGAGAGTACACTAGCGGACAAGCCACTTCCTGCCCTTTCCTCAAACTTTGCCTTTCAAATAAACACATAAATCTTTAACACACAAATATATTACAGGGGGCTTTGATAGGTTCCTGGAAGGCATGGTGTGGTAGCCTAGCGGCTGAAGTCCTCACCTTGCATAAAGCAGGACCCCATATGGGTGCTGGTTCGTTTCCTGCTGCTCCACTTCCCATTCAGCTCCCTGTTTGTGGACTGGGAGAGCAGCAGAGGAGCCCAAAGTCTTGGGACCCTGCACCCGAACCTCGAAGAAGCTCCTGTCTCCTGGCTTTGGATTGGCTCAACTCTGGCTATTGTGGTCACTTGGGGAGTGAAACCATGGATAGAAGATCTTTGTCTCTCCTCTCTGTAAATCTGACTTTCCAATAAATATAAATCTTTAAGGAAAAAAGAAAGGTTCCTGGAAAATATGAAGTACTTCTCAAATGTGGATTTTTCCCCCGACAAACTTTCTGAAGTTATCTCATATTGTCTGGATGGAATTATGTATTTATACATTATACAAATTTGGTATTATAGGGATTCCCCTCCCATTGTATTCTATAATCCTCTTCCTAATTTACATATCCCATGTGAATGCATCCTTAAAACAACAAAAAAACTTAACAAACCTCAAAACCAACACTGAAAAAGTTTCTGAAATTCGAATACACCTGAAGTTGTATTAGCTCGAGAAAATCAAGTTCCCCTTTTGTAATCCAATTAACTGGAAGTGCTTCATCAAATCCTACAAATTCTGCAATATCATGAAAACAATTCCCACAGAGGCATGCAAGTGATACCTCCACATGCGTTTTAAATAATCAGTGAAATCAAGGCGTGTATGCACTAATACTCTCACAGGTTTTTAACTATCCAGTCAATCAAAGGGGAGGTATCCCCAACACGGCTGTGCTTGCACTTAGTCCTACACTGTGCTCTCAACTGCACAGTTCTCTCCATTATTTCTCTGGAGCTCAAAAAGAAGCAGTTTATCAAATAAAAACGCACACTACCTGCACGGGAGTTACAGGATCTTTGGAATCAACATACACATCTTTTAGTAAGGCAAGCAGCTTGTCGTTTTTGCTAGCAATTTCTCCCTTAATTTCGGGATGATCTGTGGAAAAAGGACAGAATATTCAAAAAGTGAAAATTTCTTCAGGGCCCAAGCCAACAACACGAAACTGCCATTTGTCCTTCTTTTGAATAAACTATGTTGGGGCAGTTCGGAAACTTCTAAATCTAAGTGCAAATACCAGGTAAGCCTCAGTGGCCACCGGCGGGGGTCAGCTCGGATGGGTCAGCTCAGAGGGATTGAGTCAGAGGGGCCGGCGGGGGTCAGCTCGGAGGGGTCAGCTCGGAGGGGCGGGCGGGGGTCAGGCTCGGAGGGGTCAGCTCTGAGGGATCGGGTCAGAGGGGCCGGCGGGGGTCAGGCTCGGATGGGCGGGCGGGGGTCAGCTCGGAGAGGTCAGCTCGGACGGGCGGGCGGGGGTCAGGCTCGGAGGGGTCAGCTCTGAGGGATCGGGTCAGAGGGGCGGGCGGGGGTCAGCTCGGAGAGGTCAGCTCGGACGGGCGGGCGGGGGTCAGCTCTGAGAGATCGGGTCAGAGGGGCCGGCGGGGGTCAGCTCGGAGAGGTCTGCTCGGATGGCCCAGCATCCGCGACCCCGAGGACGTCCCAGGAGCCGGACCTCCCACCTCGGGCCGCGGCGGGGAGGATGGCGCCGATGTCCCGGCCTGACCCGCCTGGCCACGGCCCCCGAGCGTGGAAGCGCCCGGCCCACACGGGGACCCAACGTCCCCACGCGCCACTCACGTCTCAGCTGTTCTCCCAAGAGACTGTGGGTGGACGGGTGCCTGGGAGCCGGCGAAGGCTTCATCTTGCTGATTTCTCTTTCGGCTCGGTTCTCCAGGTTGAAGTTCCTGAATGCACGAAACACCTGCGCCCCCATCGCCTCAGGACATGATGCCCTCAGGTTCAGGACGCGCGTGGTGCAAACTCCGGCCGGGGCGACCTCTGGCCGCGCGGAGCGTGCGTACGTCCGGAGTCGATCGGGCCGGGAAAGCAGTGTGACCTGTGCGCAGTTCGCCCCCTGGTGGTGTGGAGGCCCTAAGCGCGTCTCGGGCTGGACGCTCTCAAAGGGGGCGTTGCTCCTGAGGATCCCGATAATCTCTGCCACTTTCTTGGCTTTTTGCTTGATGCTTTCCCAAGCCACTATATTCTTTTTCCATTAGATTTCACATCCCACTCTCATCATTCATTTGATCTAATATTATTGTTTTTGTATTTTCCTTGTCTTTCCCTTTATTTGTGTTACTAATTTATTTCTACATACTGTTAAGTGCCAAAGCTCCATTTCTCTCCAGTATTTTTCTTCTGGCTGTGTCATTCTGTGTACGTCTGGGATACCTCTGTGTAACTTAAAGAAAGTAGAGGGTTAGGGAAAATGAGTGTTAGATTCACTGTCTCTCTTTCTGTCTTACCTTCCTTCCTTCTTCCTTTCCTCTGCATTTATGTTCCAGTGGCACTACATTTATATAAGATTCTATGGAAATATTATGATTAGTCCATGTGAAAAGAAACCCACCAGGAAGCAAGTAGCACTGTTTCTGAAGTCATAATACTTCTCACAGACTATAGCAGCCAAATCTTTGCTTTGTATTCTCAGCAGTTTAATGAAATGAGGTAGGTTGGTTGTTTTTAACCAAGTTAAAGTGGAACAAGAATTGATGTGAAGGGCAGGCATCACGGCACAGCAGGTTAAGTCAGAGCATCCTATATCAGAGCCTACTACATGTCCCAGCTGTTCTACTTTCGATCCAGCTGCCTGCTAACATTCCTGGAACAACAGTGGGCCCCTGCTGCCCATGCACCATGTAAGAATCCCGGTACAATTCTTGGATAATTCATTCTCTCTGTCTCATTCACTTGCACATGCATGCTCTCACCTACCCTTCTATAACTCTGCTTTCAAATGGATGAACAAAAAAATGAATATTTATAAAAGAGAATTGAGTTAAAATAGTCAAAAAGAAGAAACAGACAAGTTTGTTTTAGGGGGACAAAAGCTGTAGTTATTAAAGATAGTGTTTAATCATAGCAAAAGTATTGCAAAGAACAGCACTTCCACCCTGGATCATCATGAAACATATTTTAAAAGACTGATTTATTTTTATTGAAAAGGCAGATTTAGGGCCCAGCGCAGTGGCGCAAGTGGTTAAAGGTCCTCGCCTTGCACGCCCAGGATCCCATATGGGCACCACTTCTAATCCCGGCAGCCCCGCTTCCCTTCCAGCTCCCTGCTTGTGGCCTGGGAAAGCAGTCGAGGACGGCCCAAAGCTTTGGGACCATGCACCCACGTGGGAGACCCGGAAGAGGCTCCTGGCTTTGGATCGGCATAGTATGGACCCGTTGCGCTCACTTGGGGAGTGAATCATCGGACGGAAGATCTTCCTCTCTGTCTCTCCTCTCTGTATATCCGCCTTTCCAATAAAAAATAAATAAATAAATAATAAAATTTAAAAGGCAGATTTAGAACGAGCAGAGGGACAGATCCTCCACTGGCTGTTCACCCTCCAGGTGGCTCCAACGGTCCAAGCTGAGCTGATCCAGGGCTGGTGCAGATCCCAAGGTTTTGGCCCATCTTCCACTGTTTTCCCAGGCCACAAACAGGGAGCTTAATGGGAAGCATAGCAACTGGGATACGAACCAAAGCCCACATGAGATCCCAATGCTAGAAAGTGGAGGATTAACCAGTTGAGCTATCAACCTGGGCCTGCCTGAAACATATTTTCTCCAGGCTGATGTTTGTGTACTTAAAGTCAATTTGCTCGGAAGAAGTTAATTAAGAACTCATCCTGAAGGTGGCAGGCTTCTCCAAGTTTTCTATCTTTGGGATTTTTGAAGTCTGTGATTCAATGCTTTTCAGTACTCTGGATGTTAGGAAATTTTTATTTGCTTCATTGTATCTATAAAGATCAGTAATTTTGGTAATGATTACACTTACTCTATGTTAAAATATTTTGAAAGTGAAATTGTTTATGGAAAATCTACCAAACTTGTGATAGCATGAGAAAATAATGTTAGAAGTTTTGGTATAGTGGGAATTATGACATGAAATAATTGTTTTTAAAATATTTTTATTGGAAAGGCAAATTTACCGAGAAAAGAGAAACAGAAAAACTTTTTATTCACTGATTCACTTCCTAAATGGCTGCAGTGGTCAGAACTGAGCCAATCCAAAGCCAGAATCTGGGGCTTTTTCCGCGTCTTCCATCTGGGAGTGCAGGGTCCCAAAGCTGTGGATCATTCTCCACTGTTTTCCCAGGCTACAAGCAAGGAGCTAAATGGGAAGTGAGCAGCCAGGACATGAACTCGTGCCTATATGGGATCCCAGTGGCACTTGAAGGTGAAGGATTAGCCACTTGAGCCATTGTACCAGGCCTGATGTGAAAGAATATCTTAGATTACCCTGTTCAGTTAGAATTTGGGCTTAAGTACTATGCAATGTGGACCAGCTGCTTTGCCGGGTCCTGTCCAGGGCTGCTGAAGAAGACATACTCCCCTGGAAAAGCACAATTAGCTGCCACTTAGGGACTCATCTCAGAAAAACCACCCAAACCATAGAGGCATAGGTCCAGCTCTTCTTGTCAAAACATAGAAATTCAGTTCACAGAAAGACTAAATTTCTGGGTGTCCCTGAGGCTGGTGGTCAGGGCTAAAATCAAAGGAAGATATAAGAAAATTGCTGCTCAGAATTAAGGTCTGTCTGAGAAGCATGATATAATTGCTGTGTGTGTCTAAATATCAACACACTAGAGTGTAAATTCCTTGAGTACATGAATTTTTGTCTGTTTTATTCAGTGTTGTATCCAACATGCTGACCAGTGCTAGTACACAGTCAGAATGTCAGATTAATCAAAGATCTTCTGAGCTGGAGTCTTGGCCCGAGATGAGTTCTCTCTGCCTAAACACCGACCCTAAAGCCAAATGGGAATCTCTGTGCAAGTTATTACATCTGGATGAAGCCCCATTCTTCATGTTGAAGCTGGGAATCATCACTGGGGCCAGTGCTATGGCACAGCAAGTTAAGCCTCTGCCTGCAATGTTGACATCCCATATGAGCACCTGCTGGAGTCCTGGCTGTTCCACTTCAGATTCAGATCCCTGCTAATGGCTAAGAAAGCAATAGAAGATGACCCAACTGTCTGGGCCTCTGCACTCACATGGGAAACCTGAAAAATAAGCTCTGGATTCCTGACATCAAAATGGCATGGCCCTAGATGCAAAATGGAAGACTTCTCTCTCTTTATTTCTCTCACTCTGTAGCTTTGCCTTTCAAATAAAACCAAAAATTTTTATAAAACTGGGATCATAAGTTTTATCTGAGGGATTTTATACAGAGCAAAAATATGCATCTCCAATACAGTGCTTACCATAAAATAAGGCAAATATTTGTATTATGTTCCACTGTCCAGAGGATCTGGGATAAATTTGAAAAAGACCATAGGTACTGTGAAACGTTGTGATACAGGTGAAGAAAATGAAAAAAGTATCTGAAATTAAAGGAAGATCCATGTATTTCAAGCATCTCATTGAAAGCCTGCTATTCTAAATTTGAGTCTTTCATTTTCTAGTTGGCATGCACTCTACGAACAGTAGCACTGTGAAGCTCGTCAAGGTTGAAATATGAGTGAGAATTATTAGCTCAGGGGCATAAAACGTCAATAACATTTGCCTGAGTTTGCCAGGAGAAATAGTCCCTACCCAATTTCCTCCTGCCTTCCCTTCAACTCTACCTTCTCAGTCTTTCTCTAGCCACACGATTACCATTGTTCTTTCCTGTGAACATATTTCAACAGCATGCTGTATTTTCCAAAGGACTAGCGACTAAATCCAAGTGACAGGTGACTCAGGGTAGTCCCAAGAGGTTTTGGAGACCAAAGCCCTACCAGCACAGCAGATTGGTAGAAGAAAGCCTAAGCTTAATTTTAATGTTTTGCATTCAGGCAGAGAGAATTTCTCCAAAGGCCTGGACTGCAGCTCAGGAGCCAGCAAATTCCAAGTGCTACTCAAATAACGTAGCAGGTGCCCAGGCTTGGCCAGCTGTGTAATAGTGCAGGATTGTACATTTGTGAAATCTAGAACAATGAGGGGTACTCAAACCAAAATTGTCTGGATGTTGTGCAAATCAAAATCACCTAGACTTTGTGCAAGTGCAGTATTCCTACTAAAAAACACTGGATCTCGTAGACTGGGGTTGTCAACTAGCAGTGCACCCAGAGCCTGTCCTGTGTGCTGTCATGACTTTTATCTCTGTATTAGTTTGTATGGTTACTAGGAAATAACCACAAAGGAATGACTTAAAACAATCTATTGTCTTACAATTGTGGAGGTCAGAAGTCCAAAATGGGTTGATGGAGATGAAATGAAGATGTCAGCCCCATGGTTTTTCTCCCATAATCTCTCAGGTTCCTCTTTACCTTTTTCACGCTCCTAACAACTTTGTGAGCTTCTCAGCTGACCACAATCACGTTACTGTCTTGTCGCATTTCTTTCCCTATGACTCTCCTGCCTTGTCTTCCTCTTGTAACGCTCTTACAGGTAGATTGGATTTATGTGGATACTTGTTCCATCTTGATATTCTTAAAGGCTTTTGAATCTGCAAAGTACCTTTTGTTGTATAAGGCCACCTGCTCACATCTTTAGGGACTGAAGGAATGGAAGTGGGCCAATGTTCTTTTTATTAAAGATTTACTTGTTTATTTATTTGAAAGGAAGAATGACCGGGAGACAGAGAGATAAAGAAAGTCAGATATTTTCCATCCAGTTGGTTCAATCCTCCAAATGCCAGCAGCAGCCAGGGCTAGGCCAGGCCAAAGCCTGCTGCCAGGAACTCCATCCAGGTCTCCCATGTGGGTGGAAGAGACTTAAGCATTTCGGTAATCATCTGCTGCATTCCTGTATCCATTAGCCAGAATCTGGGTTGGAAGTAGAGTAGCTGGGACTCAAAT